TGCCATTCCGTTCGATTCCGTTCGATCCCTGTGCCGTCCGATGACTGTGCCGCAAGGTCTCGGCTTAATGATGAGTCATGTTTGCAGGGAAGTCATAGGAAGGTGACATAAGCAGACTTGGTCTATATGAGCTACCGTTTATTTAAGGTGGCCCAGATAAAAGGAAAAAGTTAACTCACGTTTAAATCAGCAATGACAAGTGTGTTTCTTACACACTGAAGACCGCTGTGGCATTCAGTGAACCATTCAATGTCAAAACGTAACATAAAAAATGTTGGTCATCAGTAATCATTTCACGTTCGTCAAACCATGACTCTGCAGAAGATGCCTTTTTGGAACGAAACGAATATGTTGTTAAAAAGAGTGTGCAACGTTTGCATGGGATTTTGAACTGAACTAGCCATCTTGAAAATGACTCCGCGCAGTTTACGGTCTTGCCGTTCTTGAAACGCAAACCCGTCTAGTCTCTGGGCTACACACCCGGGAAGATGTGCAGACTATTTCAGGGAGGCTATTTCAAGGTCACCCAAGCATCCATGACGCTATAATCACGTCATTCAAATCTTGCCATTTTATTGGTTATGCAGTGATCAAGGCCAATAAAAATATAATTTTCGAGTCGTTCATATCTGGGGTTCAGGAGCACGATTTGCAGGTATAGCGACCGCTAACTGGCTGTCGATCAATGTTGTGCAAGTTGCGATCACGCAATCAAAGGATTACGTGTTGAGGAATATGTTTACTGAACAGAGAAGTTGTGTTGTCTAGAGCAGCTTTTCCCCCTTCCAGGCATACCAGTAGTTGTGAGGGAGCATATTTCATCATATTTGATGCTTGGTTCAACATATTCAGGCGTGGAAGATCCCCTTTATAAAGAGTTTCCTTAAATTACCTTAATTCTCCTAAACCTCTATTACCTGTGAAGGGAATGCCCCACGTTTGAAGATATTAAGGCAAGTATCAGATGTGATGAAATAAGCCCACTTATAACCATTGGTAGATTTTTAATTGGAACAGACTATTCCTCGCATGGGATTTACAATTTCTCTATTTAGTAAATATGCTTCTCAATTCGTCATTGTTCGATTTCGTCATTGCACCTTACACAACATTGACTGGGAACCAACTGACGGTCGTTATATTTGAAAATCGTGCTCATGAACGACAGATGTGAATGACTCGACAATGAAATTTGTATTGACCTTGATCACTGCTCGGCCGATGGAATGACAGGATTCGAATGACGTTATTATGGCGTCGTGGATGGCTGAGTGACCTTGAAACAGCCTTACCAAGATGATCTGCACATCTTCACGGGTGCGTAGCCCACAAACTAGAAGGGTTTCGGTCTTGAGAAGGGCGGGGCTGTAAACTGCATCGAGTGATCCTTGAGATGGATATTTTAGTTCAAAACCCCTTACAAATGCGAAGCACTCCCATTAACACCATCACAAAGCGCTTCATCGCTTCTGCTCTGTTCGCCCTTTGTCCAGGCGGCCCTTGAGTGACTACACGGGATCGATCGGGACGTGGAATGGCTCCAGCGGGACGGGGCGACACCGCACACGACACAGGCTTCCCTGGATTGGTTCAAGGATCATTTTGCTGGAATCTACATCAGCTTAAGACTGCGGTGCTGTGGCTTCTCTCTTTCGTCCGACCTGTGCCCCGAGGACTTCATACTGTGGGGTAACCTCAAGAACCACGTCCACGTGGATAGGCTAGCGAACCTTCAAAGGCTGAAGGCCACCTTCAGACTCAAGATGGGACGCATCACCGCGGATAACCGACCAGACAATGGACGACTTACATCGGGCTTACATGTTGGACATCCTGGACCGCCAGGGAGCCATCTGAAACACATTTTGTGCCACGATTTGACGGTGTGGACTCACTGATGACTCACGTAGTCATTGATCGCGTTTTGTCACTTAATTGCCAGTTGGATACCATCAAAGACACGATTATACGCCGTTGTTGAGGGAAACATAGATGTACTTTTATATAGGGTATCTTGCACTTAAAGACTTTTGCATATTGGAGTCATTTGTTAATTTTCTTTCGTATCCAGGTGGCATCATGTGAAAAACTTGTCAAACATCTGCAGGCTGGTATAAAATGTTAATGGACGGGCATAGCAAAAACAAATAATTACCTATCGGATCCTGTTTGATACAAAATGAGCAAGGCACTAATAGCTGTGTGTCCAGGTACTTACTGTATCAAAATTTGATACAAAATGAGCAAGGCACTAATAGCTGTGTGTCCAGGTACTTACTGTATCAAAAATCAAGATAATTTGTTTCGCGTTTCTTTGGCCCAGTATTCCATATTTGTTCATTTACATTGAGTATGCTCAGAAGAACATGGGGGGGGGGGGCCGTAGTCAGCATTAGGGAGTCAGCCTCCACCCCCCCCCCCTCCCCCCACCCCTTCCCTCGAAGGTGTATAAAGTGACGCCCTGGTGACAAGCATGAAGTCCTGCTGCCCGACCGGGTTTGAATGGCAGCGACGCAGTTCCAGCTTGTCGCACGCTGGGGGCGTCTGACTCGACTCTGGCGATGTTCTGATTACCCGGGCTGCTGTGGTCCAAATGGCTTTTTATGACCATTAGAGGCTGGAAAGCGTTAATTGTACCAAAGTCCGATATATTTTCAAGGTCACTCGCTTTAAACACGCCAGCTGCTTTTAACAAGATCAACGTATTGCTCAAATTACTAGTTCATATTCAACAAATTATTTACGGTGCAATAACAATGTTCAACCACTTAAAATGTCCGTTGCATTTGGAAAACGCTTGCCTTTTCAGTTATCTGTCATATCGTTCCCTTCTTATACGAAATATGGTCCGGTGTGTTGATCATACTCCTCAGTACAGCACGATGCAGCTTGCCTACGTAGTAAGGCGCGGACTAATCTGTTGCGCAACTGGCCGGTGCACAGAGCTCGCTGTTACAGCATCTGATGGTGCTGCACAAAGCTCGCTGTTCCAGCACCTGTTGGTGCTGCACAAAGCTCGCGGCTCCAGCACCTGTTGTGGTGCATTGAGCTCGGTGCTCCCGACGGTCAGGCCGTTCTCCGCCACCGCCATCGGCTGACAGCAGCACTCTCATCGACCTCGTACCTGCTTCCGCAGAGCCCGCTTTGTCGGACAATGGACAGTGTGCAGGCTCCCTTGGGACTGCTTGGCAGCGATGATGGATGCCCCCATTGAGAGATGAGACAGTGGGGCACGGTCTGAGCCACCAGGCTGTGATACTGGACGAAGATGGGAGCGGGGGTGGATGGCTTTAGAGTAGATAATTAAGGGATACGGGAACTGGTCGCTGTAGTTGAGGTCAATGCATAAAAAACACATAGAGGGTGTTAGACAAATGGTCACGGCTGTGAGGGAGGGAGGGAAAGAGAGAGAGAGAGAGAGAGAGAGAGAGAGAGAGAGAGAGAGAGAGAGAGAGAGAGAGAGAGAGAGAGAGAGAGAGAGAGAGAGAGAGAGAGAGAGAGAGAGAGAGAGAGAGAGAGAGAGAGAGAGAGAGAGAGAGAGAGAGAGAGAGAGAGAGAGAGAGAGAGAGAGAGAGAGAGAGAGAGAGAGAGAGAGAGAGAGAGAGAGAGAGAGAGAGAGAGAGAGAGAGAGAGAGAGAGAGAGAGAGAGAGAGAGAGAGAGAGAGAGAGAGAGAGAGAGAGAGAGAGAGAGAGAGAGAGAGAGAGAGAGAGAGAGAGAGAGAGAGAGAGAGAGAGAGAGAGAGAGAGAGAGAGAGAGAGAGAGAGAGAGAGAGAGAGAGAGAGAGAGAGAGAGAGAGAGAGAGAGAGAGAGAGAGAGAGAGAGAGAGAGAGAGAGAGAGAGAGAGAGAGAGAGAGAGAGAGAGAGAGAGAGAGAGAGAGAGAGAGAGAGAGAGAGAGAGAGAGAAGAGAGAGAGAGAGAGAGAGAGAGAGAGAGAGAGAGAAAGGGACAGAGAATGTTGCGTGTCGCGCCGTTAGTTAGATGCTTGGCTGCTCATATTTTTCACTGCGAAGCTCGCGTTGGTCTGATAAGCGTTTCAGATAGGCACACCAACTGCCTCGTTATGGTCAATGACGACCATGCGACTAAGAATGGAAGCTGAAGAACCAAGAGCTATGTTGTTATCGCTGGGCACGAAATACACTGTTTGTCATTCGGACGCACCTCGCAGAAATAATCTCAAAGTGAACGTCAATGTGTCATGGCGCTGAAGAGGGGCATTCATTGTAAAATACGTAACATAAGCGCAGAGGTTGTAGCAGCTTTTTAACGATTTTGACTTATTTTGATCCTTAACCCAACCACTCTCGCGATTCTTTACAACAGAGACTCCCTTGGAATCGTTTGTTCTCTTGCAAGAACTTAGGTGTCCAAAATTTGAATGGTTTTAAGCACAATAAACGTGAAACTCCTCACAAACAGGGCAACGTAAGTCTTTTAGCTAACAAGCTTTCTGGCGACGAAAAAGATGAATGGTTTTGTTTTGAACGATATGCGATGTACTCTAAAAACCCTTTGTAGATTGGATTTTGAGCAACCAGCTCAGTTCAGTCTCACGGTTCAAAGTGCGTGTCGCCCATCGATCTATTTTTTCCACGAACATTGCACTGAATCCAATCTAAAACAGCACAGCAGAACTTTTTGCAACGACCGTACCAGTCCGTCACATTACGTTGATAAATTTCGTAGGTGAAATGTCGAATGCAGCATGCACATTTTTGGCTTTGCACTTCACATTCGCCCGTCCCCTGTTCTGATCCAACTAGTTGAGTCAGCGTTTAAATGCATCCGATTACAGTGTTTACTCACTTTGGTATGCGGGCTGTGAAATGCTTTTTTGTTTCTTTGTCGGCTGTCCTGTCGCGAAGGGCCCGCCGTGAAACCGTGCTGTACTCGGCGCCGGCCACCAGCTGCATGTGTACTGTACGTTCTGCTGGCGCCGGCCACTAGCCGCCACCAGCTGCAGTGCCCGCCCCTGACTGCCGCATGTGTCCTGTTCCAGAGGAGCTCGGCTGTAACGACTCGGGAACGAGGCCTACTGCGACGCTCCTCCCTGCTTGGCTCCCAACTCAAACAGCTCCAGATACAATGTAAAAACCTCAAGTCGGACAACGATGGATTGGTGAGCAGCTTCAGCACGCCGTAAACATGACCGGTTTTGTTTTGCAGTGAAGTAGTGATGCATGGTTATCGATCAGGCAAACTATTGAAGCAGGCAATGACAGCGTCGCTGCCACTGTTGGTTTGGGATACCAATACAGTCATATCAAAGCTATGAAGCTAACAGATCACCCTTGTTTTGCAACATTTAGAATTGCATGAACCGGATTTTCGCTTTCCATGCACTAGATGACTGTCGTGTGTAGATTTGCACCTAGCGATTAAGACTGTCGTGTGTAGATTTGCACCTAGCGATTAACCTGTAGTTAGTGCTCCACCACTATAAAAAACTTGACCTGAACCATTACCACTGTCGCCAGACGACGTAATTTATATGGAAATAGAAGGCTTAGTGCGACGCGGAACAGCGCCGAGGTGACAGTAGGCGTGCGAGTTGGCTGTTAAGTTGAAGATGATGGGAAAAACTAAATTAATGAAGCCAGTGATCTAATGAACCCGAGGCAGCGGACACGAATATTTGTTTTAACAACGTTTTCGAGTCTTCTTTTCGCGATGGTTACATTCCTTTGCAGTTTCCGTAGCCAAATGTACATCAAGTGAGGTGTCTTGCATTTGTATGGTTAACTATTCGAGTACCTGCAAGATCAAAGACTTAAGCAGAAGCTTGTAAATTTAAGTGGCATTTTGCATGACACCTACAGTCTTTGTTTGCAGTGTTATTTACTGAAGTACACGTATTCTGCCTGCACATTAAGTTATGACTCTCGGCCTGCATATGCCTGCCGGATCGGCCGAAGGTGTAATCACCTAAATGGTGAAATCATTTAAGAAAATACCTCCGCAGCTGCATTCAGACACACTGTCGCCGATAAGTTCGCGAGTCAGACTGCCCTCCAATTGTAAATGTATGTCTCGACGCGCATTTCTACCCATCGCTGATTGCTCAAAGCCTTCTCCACTCCATATTTGTGTATGTTATTCTTTTTTGTACGACGGCTTACGAGAATACTGAAGGGAATAGTGTTCTTCACGAAACGCTTGCATCGGAACTCCCATTTTGACTAACTTCTTATCATTGATATTCAGATATTATTCGGGTTAGAGCGTTTGGTTTTGAAGAGGTGTAACATGCGTCAAGGATTGTAGGAGATTTGATCATCAAGAATGATTCATTACATTTGGGAGGGACAGGGGAGCACGGTTCTCCCATTCTCTACGAATATTCTCTTAGACATACTGCTCCATCGCCATTGGCCGTCTGTTCTTGGCGTATGCATGCATGACGGGCGCCCACTTCCGTTCGCACGCGGATGCGTACAAGCCGGAGGAGAAGGTGAAGACGGTGGAAAAGGTACGGAGCGTACGGCCGCTCAATGGATTTGGCTAGGTGATCTTCATCGGACGCGGATGGAGACGTGCGTGCGTATTGTGCGAGTTTTGAAACCACCCGTCCATTGCAGAGAGACGCGATGGACACCGAGCTGGAGCGACCGCTGGTGATCCGGACACAGGCTGCTGAGCGACTGCGGGAGACCCAGCTGCTAAAGAAGAAGAACCAAGAGCTGACCAACATGACGCGCAAGTTGGAGGAGAAGGTGAAGACACTGGAGAAGGTACGGAGTATGCGGTCGCTTAATGGATTTGGCTGGATGATCTTCATCTGGTGTCCTGGCATGTTCTCGATCAGTACTATTCAACACCTTTGCACTGCAGGCTTCTTTTCTGAGTAACGAGCAGTTTTCGAGCCCCCGTGTTTTGCATGACAAATAAATGAACCTGAATTATTGATTTGCTAGAAAACTTTTGGCGACCTTTGTGTGCGAATTTCAACAGGAGTAAGTTGGGCGAATTTGCCCTCTGGTAAGCTACAAGCGGTCGTTGGAGAGATCCAACTAACCCCTGTCCTCTTACAGAAATCAAAAGAGGTGACTCAGCAGCACCAGGAGCGTTCCCGCGCGCGGATCGTGCGCCAGCTGCCGCAGACACGAGCGGTGCCGCTGGAGAGCGAGGCGCGCGTGGGCCCGCAGCAGAAGATAGTCTCCTCCCCGCAGAAGACCGTCAGTGGGCAGCAGAAGATAGTCAGTGCGCAGAAGAAAACCGTCAGCTGGCAGCTGCGAACTGTAGGGGCGGACGAGCGGACTGTGAACGCACCGCAGCGGGCGGTGAGCGCTTCGCAGCGGACGGTGAGCGCTTCGCAGCGGACGGTGAGCGCTCCGCAGCGGGCGGTAAGCGCCAGTGAGCGGGCGGTGAGTGCGGGCGAGAGGAGCAGCGAACGGAGCGCAGTGCGCGAGCGCGCCGGCCTGCAGCAGCGCACCACGCTCACGGCTAAGCAGCGCGAGCGTGAGTCCGAGTACCAGCGCCAGATCAAGGAGCGCGACGGCGAGATCAAGCGGCTCAAGGAGAGGATGAAGGTCATCAGCGACAAACTCTCCAAGAAAAACGAAATTCAGGTATGACCCGCGATGACGTGTCAATTGCAAGGCCAATTATTTGCTATGATCTTCAGTACATACATCCTTTTAGTTTTGCGTCTTTATTGTCGGTCGCGCTGCGCTAAAAGGGGGGGGGGGGGGGGAGAGATACAACAGTGATGTGAAGCATGTCTGTATACAGCAGAACCTATAAATTAAGCTGAACTTCCAGATTCTGAAGGAAAAGGGGAAGAAGGAGTTGGTCAGCATTATCCATCAGCTGCAGAAAGAAAAGGCAAAGCTGGAGCTCCAGATGAACACACTTTCCGAGGTATGTATCCTGTCTAGTAAAACGTCACCCTCTATCAGAAGGTCTTTGGCTGGCATAAGTCATGTTAGCCATTGACTGTGGTTCTTTGCGGGAGAGTGAGCGGGTGTGACAGCTGCCCTCCATGTACTTTGGTCCGCTCACCGTGACCGCTCCTCCCGGTCGCCGTGTGACCGTCTGGCGTGGTCCCCGGTGATCGGGCCGGGTTTGTCAGCGACGAGCGTCGCACGCGCAGAGAATCCATCCTCGCCGCGGCTCTCACCGCCTGCAGGAGGGCGTGACCTCCCGGTGATCGGACTGGGTTTGTCAGCGACAAGCGTCGCACGCGCAGAGAATCCGTCCTCGCCGCGGCTCTCACCGTCTGCAGGAGGGCGTGACCTCCCGGTGATCGGACTGGGTTTGTCAGCGACGAGCGTCGCACGTGCAGAGAATCCGTCCTCGCCGCGGCTCTCACCGTCTGCAGGAGGGCGTGACCTCCCGGTGATTGGACTGGGTTTGTCAGCGACAAGCGTCGCACGCGCAGAGAATCCGTCCTCGCCGCGGCTCTCACCGCCTGCAGGAGGGTGGGGCCTCTGGCTGAACACGCGTCACCACCCACCACTCCCCAGACGAGCACTGTTCTGCAGTTGAGAATTGTTCCCCTGGTGAGCACGCCCCCGGCGAACTTCGTCAGAGACCGGGTCAGGGCAGATCGTTGGAGTGGCAACCACTTGCACCATACGAGCGATATGAAAAGCGACGTCATCGAAATTATGTAACTTGACAAACTTGTGGTAGGCCCTTTGCTTTGCTTTGTGAAGTGCGTTTTATCAGTCGCTGAAGTATGATCTTTGCCTGTTAGTGGTAAAGCTTTGATATTTGTCACATCGCGCACGTAATTTGGAAATGGGAGCTCATACAAAAAAATTAAACCATATTAGATTTCATCCTCCTTCTATTACCCGATCATCTGCGGCTTGGTCACATTATGAACACGCACTCTTTGACATGCTAAAGAAGAGACATATATATATATATATATATATATATATATATATATATTACATTAATATTTTGGGAGCAGGTTTCTTGCACGCATTGCTGATTGCACACTATGGCAAAATCGGCGTTTACATTAACGCTGGACGCCAAATGGCCCTTTTGGTCGTTTGTTTGAGGTTTCGCACGGTGCGTTTGTCGTTTTCCGTTCAATCTTCCGATCAGTTGAAACAGATTAGTCATATTTAGCAATTTGGTTTGCATCGTATTCTTACAAAGCGCACGCTTGAGGCAATAAAAGCTAGGTTTTCATGCGGCATGATCTGATTTAATGCACACGTCTGTACTGTTAAAGGTTGTTTTACATTTTGACCACACCAAGATAAAAGGCAACCATATGAAGTGGTCAGATTGCATACACTGTCCGGCAGAAACTGTGCACTATGCACAGCCGAAGTTCCATCTTCGGCACCCTTGCAGAACGGTCTTGGTCACGCGGTTGTTGACAGGATGCCCGCCGTAGAACGCCGTAGAACTTCAGAAATATTTACCAATTTCTCGGACCTGGAGGTCAGGCGACTGCTCCGACGCCTCAGAGCGAGGCCATGTCCTGGGGATGGGTAGCCGAACCGCAGGTTCTATTCAAAGGTAGTCCGTGCCCGTGAATCTACCGCTGCGGCGCTGGTTGCTGTAGCGTCAACCCTGCAGTAGGGCAATTACTGCCCAGTTGCTGCCGGTACCTGCGAGGGAGCAAGTCGAAGAAAACCCTACCGCAGTCAGGCTTGAATCAAGGAGCTCTCACTAAGGTTACAAGCGTTGGCCAGTGATTGGAACGAATGCAGATACCCACTTCAACCTCGCCATTGGTGTGCGTGGCCATTGCCGCCATGAAATTTGTTCTGGTTGTTTTCAGTTTTGGTTATGTTATGCATATGTATGCTACAGAACTATTTTTCCAACAATCCAGTTTTCTCATGCATGTACAGAATGGAAAGCAATTGCAATATGACACTGCGGTTTTGTAGACCTCAGTTATTTAATTCGGCATATTATTTGCGTGCAATATGCAGTGCAAGAAAACGCTCTGGCGTGCAATTCGTCTTCGATATTGTTGAGATATATGACAACTGGGGTGCCTCCACGTGACTGATATAAACTGCCGATTGCCTCACAGCGAGTTTGATCCACCTGTCTCTTGATCCAGACACTATCTGCTTTGGAGCTGTACTGTGGGCTGGATGCTGAACAAATGCGGTTGTGAATCCGTCACGTTTCACGGTCATTAAGGCTCCACCACTGGTGTAGTTTTACAAAGTGGGTCAGGGCAATGAGCTTGAGAAAATGGCTAAATTTACCCCAAAAGGCACTAAAAACAAGTTTCTCCATGGATCTGACTTACTTTCCTGTAAAATTTGGCGGGGGGGGGGGGGGCTGGACTGAATAGGAAACCACATCTCTGCTACAACACGTTTCCTCGATTTGACTCGGCAGAGCATGTGGACAGACAGCGTATTGATTTTGTTTGACATTGACGTTCGAAGCCAGCTCCTGGTTGCCGACATAGAGCCGATGTAACAGATAGGGCCGTTGTCTCGCGACCTACATGTTGTTGCAAATGTACAGCTTTAGGATACATAGTGCTAGTTGATGTGCGTTACTTTTCAAGGCTGTCACGGAAGCCCCCGAGCGCAGGGCGGGCCTCAGGCTTGAAAGCATCACCCGACCTAAGTATGTTCGACACGGCTTGCATTGTTTTGGTGATGGTCGTCGGCGGACCATTACCGCTATCGGCGTAGTCGACTAGCGTCAATCATCAGGCTTTTGAAGCTGCTTTATTCAAAAATTTGTGTCGAAGTGGAGGTTGGCACGTGTCAAGGACACGTCCGAGTGTAGACGGCTGGTAGATTCGTCACGTTTCGGTGCGATGGTACGCGACCGGTTTGCTTTCATTGATCGACGCTTCACTCATAAGACCTAGTGTTCATTTCTATAGCCTTGGTTAAGACGTCGAGGCAGAAGAACACAAATGATTGCAGGCTGTAGAAACTGAAACATCGCTGAATAATGCTATGCGCAAACTTAGACCAAATTAACAAGACAGCGCTTTTGTTTTGAATGCTATGCAACATGCGGCAAAAACAGAAAATAATCAAATAAATATGAAATGTACTCGGAGGCCAAAGAATGACTAGGTCAATCAGCTGTGCTTAACTGGACAGGATATCGTAGTTTCCATGGTCTTCCTTTGTGTTATCTGCGAAACATCTTCTGGAAACTGCATAAGATACGCATGATTGTGAGCTGTCATTTTAAATGTTCTGCCTATGCTACCCTTTCAGAAGGTTTTGGGGGCAAAACTCATCGTTGTGGAAGGACCAAGTCGGACATTGGGGATGGGTGGCCGGTGGCCATCCAAAAGAATACAGTCGACAACCGCGATGTTTAGTTAAGATAATTGATCTGTATTTATTTTGCCCAGTATCCACTCTCTGCTTATATGCTTGCATGGGGCTCAGAGGAGCATTGGGGGGGGGGGGGGGGAGCCAGGCCCCGGAACGCATATCAAATGATGCTTCAGTGTTGAAAAAACATCAGATATGATGGAAAAGCTCGCTTGTAACGATAGACATGCTCTTAGGTGTAAAAGACTGCTTTAGACAATACAATGCCACTACTTAGTATATATGTTCCTCAATCCGTTATCGTTTGATTACGTCATGGAACGATTTTTATGACGTCAGATTCGTTGCCAGACTGGCTGCATTGAAATTGCCACTTAAGTGGACGTGCTGTCTGACTTGTAGTACTTGAACTGACTGCAAGGTGGATTGTTCATTTAGGCGTATGAAAAAACGACCATCGTTATGTGCACGTGTGCTGGTCCTTTCTCGTGGTGTTCTTGCATATTGTTCCTTTACGGCGTGTTTTATACTTGCATTTGCACTCCTGGTTACGGCACTATTGTTAAGTTTTTCGATATAAACAGTATAAGCTGTTATACTTGACTACTGTACATGTTTATACTTGACTACTGTACATGTTTATACTTTGCTTCTGTAAAGTATAAACAATGTAAGCTGTTATACTTTATTTGTTATACCAGCATAACAGTATAAACCGTTCGTGATTGAGACTGGATTTAAACATGTCAAACTGATAACAACTAAATGGTGTCTGTTGATGCAACAATTCGTAATGACGTGCTTCCGACACCAATAAGTCAACTGCCATATTTGTCTTTACCTTGAGCACAATATGGCCATTGAGGAAACAGGATTCGTGTGGCGTTTCTATTATGTGACATATCTCCGGGTGGCTTCGAATTTGGCGGCACGAAATGTGTGCACAAGCTTGCGTGCGCCCAGCTCAGAAACAAGAGAATTTGGAGTCTTGCAACGGGCATAACTGTGGAGTGCAAGATTGATCTTGAAATTGCTCTCTCAGTTCAAAACCTTATACAAATGTGGAGCCGTTCCGTTAAGGTTTTTCGAACTGAAAAACAGTCTTAGACAAATAGCTTGATTCCGGTGTTTGGCACCTGCTAGTTGCTCCGAAGTTTCGGAATCATGGCATGATTTATTTTTAAAACTGATCACATACGACATACAAGCGACGAAGATATCATTATATGAAAAAAGTTATGTATACACAAGCTCATTTGTCACATGAACAGAGTCTAAATGATGAACATTTAAGGAAGTATGCATTCCGACGGGAAGTCACGTAATGAATGAGAGCTGTCATTTATATTGGTGGCAAGGACTGTCTCTAATTTCTCCTGTGTGATGATGATGCTACCATGACACTGGTTCTTCTGGTGAAATGGTCTCGGATAATGTTCCGGCATTACTCTTTTCTCACGTGTTCTTTTGAAGCACTGTCAGCCAAATAAATTTTGAGCCTCCTTGAGTGTGGTTGTAGTGGCTCTAACGCAGGTTGATTGCTTTAGAAGTCCGCAATTTTCCAAGACTGTAGACTCTTCCCTGTAATTTTTAGGGTTCCGTCACAGCAAAGCTGATAAACTA